AAAAAAAACCGAAAAGATTTTCAAATACTTGATGGTATAGGAAATAACTTTTGTAACATCTAACAATAATAATAAAAAAAGTATAACAATAATATATATGCTAATCAATCGCTTTCTACTTTTATAAAAAAATATTTAAATTTTTTTAGTTTAATCTTTTATATAAAACTGTTAAATGACTTAAGTTTCCAATCCCTTGTTTGCCCTTGAATATACTAATACCATAAAAGCTAAAATATGCTGTTATCATTTGAAAATATGAACTTTAATATTAGACGATATTTTATTGTCTAGTAATAAATTTTTAGTATAAGATTTTTTTTAAAGTTCATGTTGTGTTTGTGGAGGGAGATGTGATGTGATAAGCATTATGCAAATGTGCATTATTAAAAATTTATTTTTTCGGAAATAATTGAAATTTTATTTATTTTTTCTAATAAAAAGCAGCATCATTCTTATTAATTGTTTTTGTACATGACATACCTTTACAAATATTTTTATCTCCATATTAATGGTCATTTTTTACAACAAACAAATGTCTAGTTGTGTAATAAATAAATAATGCAGACATAATTTATAAAGATTAGAACTGGATATTAAAATAAGTCCTTAAAGTGGCCAAAACCATTACAAGATTTTATAATATACATAATAGAAACTGCCTATAAATAACGAGTCGAAGATTATTTATTTTTTAATGGCATTCAAAAGTATTGCCTATAGTTGTTTAAACGTTCGTTCCCAAACGAAATCGCTCAATGTCATGCTCGAAAAATCTATTTCCTGCTGTTTAAACTAGTCGTTTACCCCACTTTGACTTCATTGTCCCTTTGTACCTTCAGTACTTTTTATTTTTACTTTTAGCAGTTGATAGTATGTGAACATCAATTGGGAACAGATCTGGGTTGTAGGGTAGGTGATTCAAGACTTACTATTTGACTTTATACACAAGTTAATTTGCCATAGTTGTGTGTAGTTCCTCATTGTCGTGCAAAAGAATGACTACCTGAACCTTTCGCCTTTTCGTTATCAAATATGACAGAACATTGGCCCTATTTCCATAGGCATGAAGCATCCCTTTGTAATCTATTCCTCTACTATACACATCACTTTAAAATACGCAATAAATGGAAGGGCATTTGCTTAACAGTTTTGTCACACAAGCAACTATATTTCAGGCTCATCTAAGTCTCCTTGATAAGCACATTTAGTAACAAGACCTAATTATAAATTAAATAGTGCAGTAGCATTTACCGATATGAATAAAGTAGCAAGTTCCACGGATATAATGTTTAATATGAAGTTAGAAGTAGACTCGTTTTTTACGAAACCTGATTTTCAAATATTATTTCGAATATTTTTGAATTATACGAATTAAAAATGTTTTATTATCGAATTTTTAAAATTTTTCCATAGGATTAACATTACAGTCATTTTTAACAAGGCCGTCTTAATAGCATGCAAGGCCCCAGGGCACAAAAATATTATAAACCCCTATCATAATGTTTAAAAACGAACTAAAAAACTTCACATACATAAAATAAATCATTTTTGAGATATGATGCAATAATTTTAACAAATTTAAATACATTTTGATTACTCCCGAAACTCAAAAAAAGCATTTTTAAACTATGTATAATTTGAAAAAAATTTTTATATGCTAACCAGTTGTAACCCTCAAGTAATAAAATAATTTTCAAAATCATCAAAGTTAAATAAATAATTAAATTAAATTAAATAAAGAAAAAGGTATAGCAAATTAAAATAAATTCAAAAGGTATGAATTATTTTGTAAAACTAAACAGTTATTAAAACATCTTTCAATGCCCAAGTGCCAAATACTTCAGAATAAATACTTCAGGCACGTAGAAAAATATATTTCGGTTGCCTTATTTAAGTTTTCTTGTTACTAAACTATTCATATTATTGGTATTTGCATGATAATCAATCACTATTTGTAGAAAAAAAATACACACTTTATATAATAGAATATATTTATTTTAAAAAATATATAAGGCAATGTTAATTATTCTTTAAACACAATTTATAAAAAGTAGGATTCTCAAGGGCCCCTTGGTGCCCATGTGTAAAAACGGTACTGATTTTCAATTTAAAAGTTCTTTGACAGCACACTGACATGTTTGAATAATTGAAATCGGTTCATAAACTGCAGATGTGCTCTGTTTGTTGCATGTTGTTGATTTTATTGTTTTAATTTTGTTATTAATCATGTCCTGAAGTTTAAAATCTTTATCAATTTTATCTTTTAATGTAAGCCATTTAAAGTAACCATTTTGTAATATATAAGTAAATTAAACAATATATATTATAATTAAATTAAACAATATATATTATAATTAAATTAAACAATATATATTATAATTAGATTAAACAATATATATTATAATTAAATTAACGAACCAATTTATAATTAAATAAAACATTTTTAGTAAATCTGTTCCAAATTTAACAAGTTGATTTAGTTATTATCGGAATAATTACGACATGTTTGCAAAACTTTTTGTTTTGAATTGGGTCAAAGCCATAGTATACCGTCTTCTATAGATCAAAAATGTTCAAAGCTTGATCAAACTATGTCAACTCCTGCTTTCATTATTTTGAAGGAAAAAAATTGAAAATTAAAAACGTGTTATAATTATTATTTTATGGATCTATTCCCCAAATGGGACTATAAATTAGTAATTTATTTAAATAGATTTAAAATAAATAATATTTTATAACTTTGTATCAGAAACACTGTAAGGAAAAATTTTCTAACGAAGTCTTGAGCTATTATATGGCTGCTTTTATTTCTAATCTTATTCAAGTACCTAGAATCAAAAGGTAATTGAAATAAATTAGATTAGCAGATAATTGAATAATTCTAGGTCCTAGTAAACAAATCAGTTTAATACACGCAGCTCCCGTTCGCGGTTGCTGCTTTGTTGTCTAGCTAATAACCCATTACAATGCTTTTATCTTATCAGCATCTATTTCATTTTCATCTAGGAAGAAGGTGTAAGAAAAATATTTAATCGTAGACATAACTTTGACTCAGTTATTAGAGAAGTAGTTTTTAGGAGTAGTTTCGAATTTGTTGGAGAAATTTACATACAACAGTTTCGTACACGTTATAAATTGTTCTTTTTACTCCTTTGCATATCTGAAGTCTCTGTTGATTAAAACTTTTTTTTTAAAGTCCGTATAATTTTTAAAAAAAAATAACAGTAAAAAATTTCAATTGTAAGCATATCCATCATCATGATAGTCATTTGCAAGTCTTTGAATTGAATTGAATGTGGGGTAAAATGACACAAGTAGTACATGATGCGAAAAAATAAATACAAATTAGAAAATAAGAAACATTATAAGAGTCTAGAACTAAATCAAATATTCAAACTATATTAAAAATGGAATAACATCAAATCAAAAATCGATTATTCATTTAAGCCATTTTTTCCCCTCAAAATTAACTACCAATAGCAAGCAGGAATGCAAAGATATTTGAATGATGGGTGCCATTTAACAAATCCTCCAGTCACAATATAAAACAATTAAAATGGTGGCACGATATCAATTAAATGTGAACATAGGATTAAAGTAAGATTAATCGGAAGAAGTAAGCTACACGTATTGTATTTTTGTTAAAAACAGGCGAGAATACTCTTCGAAAAGTAAAAGAAAATGACTCAACCGAGTATGGAAACGAGTGGGCTTAATGACTGCATTGCATAAACGCAACACGAGTGAAGAGTTCAAAGGAAATTTAATAGGGTGCAGTTTATTCTTAACTTACGTCAGGGCTATTACTATAAAAACTGTGGTAAAATACTGAATATAAAAAATAATTTCTATTTGTTTATCGTAATTTAACTTGAAAACTCAAAGAAAATTATAATTTGTTGCTATTCAAAAATCAAAATTATGCAGCAGTTAAAAAAATAAGAAGATGAAATTGTAAATTTAAATAAAAATTTGAAGATCTTTATCGAAAAGCTGATCTGCGGATCAAACAATAGCTTAACATTGTAATTTTGAGCTTAATAGACAGACTTTACTTTTATAGAGGTAATTCCGCCGCGATTGAATTAAAATGCATTTGCGTTTATTTGAGAAGAAACTTTTTCCTAGCTTATGTAAAGCTTCTAAGCTATAGTTAAGAGTTAGATAACCGTTTCGGTATATTTCTAATATTTACATTGAGAAACTGCACAAAAAAAACTGAAATTTAGAGTTTAAAAAATGTAAAAATTATTTGTAATTTCCTTTTTTATAATTTAACTACGTTGATAAAATTATAAAATGTTACAAAGTATACTTTTACAACATTACAATGTTATGCAAATGTTACAAAGTGTAATTAGAACCAGAGCAGTGAAGTTGATAGTTGAAATATTGAACTTCAACTCCACATTTATAAGAGCCCGACTCCAGCTCCGACTTTTACTCTATTAAAATTGTATATGAATCTTTAGAGATTATTAACATTAATACTAAGAAAATACCAATTTCAAATTATGTATTCATACTTTATTGCAACTTAGCTTAATAAATTTGATTTTGGAATTTATGAATCGAGGAAATTTTTACTAATAAAATGCAAAACTGAATAATTTATAATTGTTTATTATTTGCTCAGAAATTTTTTAAAAATTGTGTTACCAAATAAATATAATTATAAGTATTTTCTTTTCTTATGATTATAAATATTTGTTTGAACAATCTTTATCAGATGAAGGACTTCGTTTCCCTTATAGCACTGCTTCTAACTAACCGGTGACGAAATCGGTACATTTTGTTGATTCCAAATTCTGCAAAACTGTCTTCGACTCCAACTCTACAACCCAGAACTCGAAGAATATTACTGTTAAATGAAGTATTTTCCTTTCAAATTTAGTAGTATTTCTTCTTCCCCAACACTAAAATTTTTCAAAAACTCTTTAATTACTCTTTTGAGAGAAAGTTAATGTTTGCTTCTAACTTAATTAATTTGGTTCTAGTTTCTGCCACTACGTGCGGTGTCGCTGTCTTCTCATCGTCTGGGTGTGGTATACTGCAAAGAAAAACCCATGATTTGAGACGTTCCGGTGAAACTGCGAAGAAGCCAAGCAAGGAAACAGACACAAAGAGCCCTCTGCCTCTGAAACAATCAAACCAAAAAAAGGAAAAAGAACTGCTCTTCAATCAATATTCTTCCAGAAATAGCTAGGTAAATTTTTTTCTTATTATTTTGGCTCTAGATTGTTTTTTAAAAATATACACTTAATGTTACACGATTTACATTTGATATCACAAGATTTTGATTAAGTGCATTTTTAATTATTGTACTAAAATTTATTCAACGGCTATTGGTTTTAGTAAAATTGAAAACTTTTAGTTCGAAAGAGCTCGCGGATTTGAATATATTTATGTATAAAAACAATTCAAAAATTGATTTTTCATAAAATTACTAGGAAATGAAAATTTGCTTAAATTTACCTTTACCATAGTGTATTTATCATCATGATATTTTTCTAGAAAAAAATTGTTGTTACATGATTTTTATCAAGTGTATTCTTGATTATCGTATTGAAAGTTTTTAAGAGCCTATTGATTTTATAGCATTGAAAATGTTTATCTATAAGGAGCTTGTAAATTTAAATTTATTTATGTATGAATCTATTAAAAATTAACTTTAAAACGACATTATAAAGCAAATTTTTTTTCTTAAGAGTTATATATTCAGTGACGCTGAGAAAAAGATTTAATCAGAAAGACTAAATATGAAATTGACGGTAAATATCGAATTATTAAGAAAAAACAAAACGTTTACGAATTATTCAGAAAGAAATTTATGCAAAAATAGATTATTATTTGAAAAAAAAAATTTTTTTTTCGAATTCCTGTTTTAAAAGAAGTATTAACTTCTAAGAAGTAATAACTTTAAAGAAGTAGAAGCTTTGGAATTTTAGGCAAGAAAACACTTAATTATGGAACTGAAATGATTCTTTCTTTAATTTATGTATGCTTTATACGTTGCTCTATACGTAATTATACTTCATCACAAATATAATCCTATATCTACTGAATACTAATCAAGTTTATGGTTTCTTAAAGTACCTCATTTCTATTTTAATTTTTTCCGTAAAATGCTTAACAAAATAAAAATTCCCATAAAATGCCGTAAAATACTAAAGATATCAGGTTGCAAAAATATTCGAAAACTTAAAAAATATGATAAAAATAATTAATACTTGATAATCTAATTAGAAAAGGCCAGTAAAACTATTTAAAGAAGAAACTTCTTAAAGTATCACATTTCAATTTTTAGTTTCTCCATAGGACGATTAAGTTAAATAACTAAAGATATCGATTTACAAAAGTATGCGAAAACTTAAAAAATATGATAAAAATAATAAAAAGTAATTACTACTTGATAACTTATTGAGAAAAAAACAGTATTAGTACTATTTGAGTGTTTGAGAAAACATTTAACCCACAACGCACCAATGTCGCCGTATAAGAGGAATGGCATTTTCACGCATTCGGTCAAATCCAGCGCGTATGATAGCTAAAATCATTTTAATATTTTTTATCGCACTTATTAATTATTGTCATATTTGCAATCAATTTCATTATAATAAATTATATAATTATGATTAATTGTATAATCAATTATTATAATTATGTCTGGTGGGAAGTAAACTTGAAATAAACCCGAACCGTTAAGGATTAATTCTTACAGAAATTGAAGATACATAGTATATTGACTTTTCCATAAATGTGCGAGGGCTGATGGAAACCTTTATATTTTGAATTTTGCGGGGGACGGAGTTCCCGAACGCCCACAAAGTAAATTCCAATTAGGACTGATAAATGGCATTTACAGGAAAGATTTTCTTTAAAACTTTGATAACGTTGTTTTATTTTGTAAAAAAAAAATTTAATATTTATTCGATAGTTCAAAATTTAAAAAAAAGAACTTCTACTAATATTCATGTGTATTAACTTCTGTAAAATAGCTGCTAATTAATAACGATTAATAAAGTATATATAAAGTTCACGAGAACTGCATGCTACTGGCTGTAATTTGAAATGAAAATACGAATTATGTGCACGGCAGCTATTCTAAACTTCACCATGATCATTATTCAAAAGTATTCTAAGCAATATTTGACTAGGTATTTTATATTGTAAGTATTTTGGCACAAAATGTGGATGTCATTGGGTGTACCAGATATATTATAATCCTTATGTATATTTATAATTGCTTGTCCGTGTGATGTGTCTTTTGTTTTAGATATTAAGAGGTGTTAAATGTGATAAATTACAATGCTCATTGCGCATTTCTTCATTGTGAGGCTCTATTATTTTATTAAACTCAGATGTATAAAAAATAATTTAATTTACATTACTACAATATAGGGGCAACTTTTAAAAAGACAATTAAATTGTTGTTAGATATGTTTCTGTGAGATTACAATTTTGAAGTACTTCTCCTTTTTTCTCCAACCCAACTTGTCATGCTGTTGTTCTCATGCTGTTTACATGATAAAGACTTTCAAAATAATTTGGCATTTATAAAGTAGCTCACTCGTTTTAAAGTGATCAATTACTTGATGGTACATGTTCTTACTGTTAAAATTTAAAAAATAATAATATTCAGATTTCAGCTATAACAAATATGCTTCAATTATCTTCCAAACTGTAAGCAACTTGCAGTCTATTATTGCTAAATATTTTGTAGAAATTCTTATTTAATTAATTTAAAAATTATTATTGTATACAACAATGGATTATATGTAAACTGTACATATTTTAAAATTTCCTTTCATTATGACATTCATAATAACATTTTCCATACTTACAAACGTAAAAAGGGTAATTCCAATTTTTTTCACAACTTATAACATCTGAATGTTTTAATGTGAAGAAACCACAAAGCTTTTAAAGCGTTTGAGTTCTAATGCATGTAAAAGAGCAATTCTTTTTTTTTCTCCCGAGAGTGTTAATACCAATACTTTTAGGCCTCGTACTCAGCGCCTCGTTGAGGTAATAAAGTTAACTACTAGTTATTCAAAGATTTTTATCGTTTTCTTTTATTATTTTTAAATGAATTTCTGAAATTTAATGTAATCGTTTGGATTTTTGGTTCTTTTTAACTCCATAAAATTGTTGAAAGGATTTTATATAATATCGAGTGTCAAAGAAGACAAAAATACATTTTATGGAATCAAAAGTAAGTTATAAATTGATTGAAACTTCCCTTGATTTAATTTTTCTTAAATTTGTATTCATGTTAATAGTAAAATATAGTTTTATCTCTAACAAATACCATCAATCTTCTTAGATTGACAGAAGAATAAATTAAATAAATCTTATTGCTTTATAGTTCCTACGTAAATGTTTTCTTTTAATTATTAATATAGATTTTTCTCTGGATTTATAGTTTATTTTATGATATCTCTGAACTAAATGCATTTTAGTAGAATTATCTAAAAAGGATAATAAAATTACCTTATCTTTTATCGTCTCTCTTTATCTTCCAAAGAAAACATATCAATTAATCATGCAAATGTTTATAACGCTAAAACGTATGAAAAACTTATAATATGGCTCCAGATTATTATTTTATGTATGTCTTATAGCAAAATCCATAAACAGAATTTTTTATAATGCAGAATTTTTTATAATGCTAATTTTTTATAATGTATGCAATTAAAAGTAAAGCGACACTTAAAAATTTATATTCGTAAATTCTAATCTTATTTAGAAAAGAAAAATAATTTTTCAATTACTTTTTCAAGGTTAATAAATTAGTATTTATAAATACTCAAAGCTAAAAATTTAGAATTATGAACCTGCATTAATTAAAAGTTAAATTCATTTAATCAAAAATGCTAATTAATTTGCAATTTTTATTTTGACATTAGATTATCATTGGCCAACAGTAACTGAATACTCTAGGTCAGGGGTTTGACCACTTTTTATGACCACTGTCTTGAAACCTCTAATTATGTTTAGATCTTGCCTATAATTCATAATTTATTTAATCTCTCCGTTGTCCTTATGAAATTATTTTAAGTAAAATGCCAATGAAATAGAAATAGCATTTTTTAAAAGAAATTACAATTTTTTTAGCAGCATTATACTGAACAAATTAGGAAAAGAACAAGCATTTATAAAATATTGCATTAGTATTTTCTATCGTACTTTTTGAATCAAAATAATACATTTTTTAATAAAGAATTATAGTTCTCTACTAAATATTTTCAACGTTTATTGCAGTTCTTTTAAGTTTTCATTTCGAAGTAATTTATAATTCGGAAGATTTTGAGATTATGTATATACACCAAAAACAAATTCATATCTAGATTAGATATAGCACAAGGACAGCAATTTCAACTATTGAACAAACATAAAACCTAATTTAAGATTATTAATGATAAAATGATGAAAAATAGTCATTCCTATAATTAACTATTTTAAAAAATAGTCTTTGATAGGTTATAACGTTCAGAGTTAGCTTAATAAACTTTGTTAATAAAGCCGGGGTTCCGACGAAAGAAAGTTGATTATTTAAGGCTGCGTATCCGAAAAAAATTGGGAATCACTGCTCTAGGTATTGAAAAATATTGTTCATGTGTATTATAGTTTTTATTGTAGTGTACTAGGGCAAATACATAAAGGATTCTTACAATATGCGTTAATTATGCAACCATTTGTTTCACAGAAAGTCTCAAAATGAAAAACAGTTCAATTTCACAGCCTTTAATATACATTTCTAAAATCCATAATACGAATGAAGTAAAAAAAAAAATATATATATATATATATAGGCATAATTACTATTGCAGTTAGAAGAACTAAAAACTATAAAGCTTTCGAATCATTATCGAGGTCGAGCTAAGCAATAAAATACTTGAAAATTTTAAGGTAATATAATGATAAGTCACATATTCAAATTGTTCAGAAGAGCGTTTTTTAGAGGATATTCAGTAAAAAACACCCCACGTTTTTCATAAAAGCAACAAATGTTTTTGTGAGTTTTTCAAAATTTTATCGACTGTTAAGAACTGTCCACAGACTTGTACTTCGATGCTTGTAAGTAACCGATTTCTTAAATTATGCTTTATAAGTAAAATAAACTCGATGGGCAATAATCGAATATGGCAATATTCGAGGGGAATAAAATATAAAACGGAATAAATTTTGCTGATAAAGGAAAAT